CTATAACGAATGAAAACGAAATTATGTGATAATTATCTGTGATTTGATATATTATTCTGCATGCGTTGCATTTCTCCTGCTGTAAAATGGAAACATTCCATAGATCAACGTTCCAATGTCAATTATTGTTCAACAATTTGTGGCCTCTACCATGTAAGTTCTCTGTGGTATCACCCCTACAGCTAGCGCGGTGGGAAATGTCCTGTGATTTATTATAAGCTAGCTCCGTTGAGAAGGAAAAATTCAGCAAGTAGTTATAGCACCTCTTCCGGTAATGAAATCGGTCATCTGGATCAGTAATTGCGACGTTGTACACTTTTAATTATTATAATAATTTAAGTTAAACTGGCTTCTCAGTCGTAAGTTCTACGTTCGAATCCAAGCAGAAGTCTATTTTGTTAAGTATATTGAAAACTTATAAACATCACAATGCAAGGATTATACACTGATTTCGAATAAAAAAAGCTCGTCGCTTCAGTACTACTACATTTTTATGTCACACAAATTATTTTTATGCCCACTATCTTAAAAATTACTAAGCCCATATCCAGACTGAAAACAAGATAAAATATGCAACCTATGAAATTAAACCTAAAATATTAGGCCGCACGCTAAGTGTAGTTATTGTATATTAATCTCAAAATTTACATAAGTATAGTTTAATATACAACAGATGGGATCTACAGTATGATGATCATTGTGCTATCATGTAAAACCATACACTTTTGTTCAAGTTATACACATAAACAGAATAACATCAAAATATGAACTCAATGAACATAAATATAATCAGAACAAAACATGCGTAGGTAGGTACTTACTAAATTTCACAGCATAAAAAAATATTAACAGTAAAGGATTTCACACGCATATGACACTGAAATTGTATTCTGACACTGAAACTGAAACTGTTTTACAGAAGAAATCCATAAGAGCAATCGATGATTTGAAATCTTAAGAATCTAAAATTTAAGGAAATTAATATATTAACTTTGGCATCTCAATACATTTATGAAAATGTAGTCTACGTTTACAAAAATAAGAAATATTCATTCTGTAAATACTTGAAACACACACAAGCTAGTAGTACCAGTTACTCGACTCCACCGAATCAGTAATTCATTCTTGGGGCGATGTATATGCTTTTACAACAAGATCCCAGAAAATATACAAAATTTGACCTGCTCGTAGTTCAAAAACTTTATTAAACTAAGTTTGTATAAAAAGGTTATTACTCTATCTCTCTCTATATATATATAATAACTCCTGGGAATGAGGTCATCGATACCAAGTTATTTCTAATTTGTTTTATGCAGTTAATTGTGTAACATACATGATTGTAACCTGTTATTTTTTTTAAGTCCGGCTGTGTTTCTTGCTAGGACAGAGGTTTTTTCCGAACCAGTGGTAAATAAACAAGTGACTTTCAATAACTATTATTTATAATCTATATTGCATAAAAAAGTCTGTTTTGTTGTGTTCATACTTAATTAAGCTTTTATTGAAATTATTATTTTATGCTGCGAATGCACTATATAGTACACACAGTAGATAATATATCTAAATCTGTTTAATTTTTTTCCTTTTTTAAACACAATTAAATAGAACCTTAACACTGAGACTTTCTCCTATATCGTGGAGTTTCATGTACATAAATTGCAAATGGGCAAAAATCCTTTCCAATTTGGTTGGTATGTTATAAAATATGTAGGTTTTTGCTATTCTTAATAAACACATTATTGTAAAGACAACGCATTCTTACTAGGGGATTATAATAAAACGTATTATTTCTGTAACTTGCAGAGCAAGTTTTTAGGAAAATATACGTTAAATATAAGAGGACAGGGCTTAGAGTTTCTTTAAATTGATTTCTGGAACGAAGTTCCTTATCGTACGGTTCGAATTGATTTTGGCGGCTATAAAGAAGTGAGATGAAATAATATCCCTCTCCCTCGCACTTTTTCTTATTTTACCATGAAAGAAATATTGTTTTATTTTAAATGACGCTTCATTTTAATAGAGGTTATCTTCACGCACAATCCCTGACGGGGTAGCCAGAGAGAACAGATCGCCAAGTGTCACGATCCTTACATACCTCTTTCGCTTCTTTCAGATTCATTATCATTTATTCATTTTAATAGACGCTAGTAATTCATTTATTTGTATTTGTTAATCAATTATATAATACGTTTATCAATAATAATATAATACGAAAGGAACTTCGTTCCAACCGAGTGTTCCACGTCACTCACGCATGTTTTTTTTTTATTAAATGACAGACCTGTAGGGAATCAATGAGTAAAATTTAAGTTATTGCTTTACTTTTAAATCGTATATGTGAAATTTGATTTGATAGGCGTAGGCATATGTTTAACGGTGGTAGAGCCACGCTAACGGTGGTAGAGCCACACAGTAGTTTTTGCTGTTGCACGTATGGGCCGGCTCGAGCCGGGTTGGTACTACGACCTCACAGAATACCGGCGTGAAGTAGAAGCTCTGCTTCTGCGTTTTGTCTAGTGAGTGCAGGTGGCCGGAGGCCCAATTCCCCCCCTCCCCCCCATCAACATGGTAGCGGAATTACACGAAAGACTACCCCAGGAGGGTACCAATACCCCTGGAGAATCCCTCGCCTAGCATCCACGACCATGTTATTCCAATCCTGAGCGTGGGTGCTCAGGCTGGCCCGCGTATTCTGGGGGGGGGGGGGCAAAATTCCGCTCAAAAACATAACTGCTCGGGGCAAACTGAGCAAGAATACCAAGGCGACCCCTGCCACGCTATCCGTGAATTTCTGCAACATCAGGGGACTTCACTCTAACCTAAACGCCGTCCACTACCATCTCGAGACAGCGAAGCCGGCCTTGCTCCCCAGTGCCAGCTCCTTCCACTTGACCGCATCCAGCGCAGAGCGGCTCGAATCGTCGACGACCGAGTCCTTTCCTCGATTCATTGGCACTGCGAAGAGATGTTGCATCCCTTTGCATTTTCTTTCGCATCTACCATCGGGAGTGCTCTGAGAAATTGTTCGGATTAATCCCAGCCGCCAAATTTCACGAACGCACATCGCGGCAGAACTCCCGATACCATCCACACCATCTGGTTAATTGGCGGTCCACCACTGTGCGATTTAGAAAATGTTTTCTTCCTCGCACGACTTTCTTGTGGAATCGATTACCATCAGCGATTTTTCCGGACCGATACGACTTAGGGGCCTTCAAGAAAAGAGCGTACTCATTTTTAAAAGGCCGGCAACGCATCTGCGATTCCCCCCCTAGTGTTGCAGTTGTTCATAGGCGGCGGTAGTCACTTACCATCAGGTGAGCCGCATGCTCGTTTGCCCCCTGTCCTATAAAAAAAAATGTTCAGCAGTGGTTTCTTAATAGGTTATAATGTATGGAGGTAAAAAAACTTACAGACTATACGCCCCAATAAACACTGGCCTTCTCTCATTTCTGAGAGGGTAATTAAGTAATTAGTCGTTACTCCAGTGTGTGTGTGTGTGTGTGTGTGTGTGTGTGTGTGTGTGTGTGTGTGTGTGGTGAGTGGACTTTACGCGTCCCCAAAATATTTTATTCCTCAGACATGCAAGTTTCCACACGATGTTTCATTCACCGTTAAGAACCTGGTAAATCAACTCTTAAAATTGCAATTTACAATTTAATTGGTGCCGATGTGAACCCGAATTGCTCGCGTTCACTAAAATTTACGCTGAACGCTTATCCTCTAAACTACCACGACTTGGAATCAATACGAGAATAAACTTAAACCTGAGAATAAAGCAAGAAGGATAGAAACAACACGTAGAATAAAACAGAAGATCAGAAACGCTCAAAGACAAAAATAAAAATTAAAAAACGTAGGTATATTAAATCCGCACAACTTTCCAAGAATTGAATTGTCAGACCGTATCACGGCTACAATACTTTCCGGAGCGATCAGTCGCTTCGCAAATCGCGCAACGTTTCGCAACACTGCGCCGCCTTAACGCCTATTACCTCCGATCGACGTGAGGCACTGCATTGTGTCTCGCATATGCATGCGCGGTCACAACAAATCATCCATTTTATAGCACCCAGTACGCTCACTTTAATAATCCAACTGCGGGGCACGAGTAATAATTTTTTTTTTATGGATTTAACATGTTTTTATTTTATGTTATGTAAGAAGTATGTATGACTCTTACCTCTCCCTTTTTCAGACTTCTAAAAAAGGAAAAGGGTGGCAAAATAGGGGGCATTTCAGTAGTTACCTTGAGCTTATGATATTATTTAGTCCACTCATAATAATCAATAAATGAACCAAACTGGAGCAGATTGATTAGAATAGAATAGAATGGAATAATTTTTATTCAATATACATTACATGTGTAATTCTTATTGAAAGTCATTTTTTACTTTACCACTGGTTCGAAAAAAAGACCCTCTGTCCTGGGAAGAACCAGCAAGAAACCCAGCGGGACTTTTTTTTAAATAAATTTTACAATATAAATGATTACGAACTATTTACAAAATTTATTTTAGAAACCGCTTGGAAGCGACCACCTCATTCCCAGGGTTTATTATCAACCATGTATTCATTTATACTATAATAACCCTTTTTATACAGTTTCAGCTTAATAAAACATTTAAACTTGGTAATAGAGAGAACCTGTACACTTTCCGGGACCTTGTTGTAATAGCATATACATTGCCCCAAGAATGAATTACTGACTCTGTGGAGTCGAGAAACTGGCATCACTAGCTTGTGTTTGTTCCTAGTGTCTACAGAATGTATATCACTTTTTTTACTAAAACTATCTTTGTTTTTGTGAACATACATTAAATTTTCGTAGATATACTGAGAGGCCAAAGTTAATATACCTAGTCAGGTCATAAGTATTGTCACACAGTAAAAACTTTTCTTTTAGAATGCTGGCCACAAAAAAGTTTATTGAATTCGAATTTCGAATTGGTCATGAAAATAAAAATGTATACTTTGTAGAATTATACTCATTTTTAAATATGGAGTGGACGCTTAAAGAAGGCCGTGTTGCAGTTATTGCGTTGCATCGTTGCGGTTACGCACCAATTAAAACTTTTGACATACTGAAAAATTTTAATAATATAACCAAAAGATTCGTTTATCGTACCATCAAACGATACAATGAAGACTCTAGTGTAGATGACAGGTCAAGAAGTGGTCGCCCTCAGTCTGTTAGGACTCCAGCAGTGATAAAAGCTGTGAAGGCGCGAATTCAAAGAAATCCCAAACGTAAGCAGAAACTGTTGGCCCTTCAGATGGGGTTAAGTAGAACCACGGTGAAAAGGGTGTTAAATGAAGACTTTGGGCTTCGGGCATATCGAAGAAAAACAGGACATCGTTTGAATGCTCGTCTAATGGACCTGAGACTGAAGAGATGCCGCGCTTTGTTGAAGCGGTACGCGGGAAAAAAAAATCGGGAAATTCTTTTTTCGGATGAAAAAATTTTTACCGTAGAAGAGAGCTACAACAAACAAAATGATAAGGTGTACGCACACAGTAGTGAAGAAGCGAGCAACCGTATTCCGCGTGTCCAACGAGATCATTTTCCATCCTCGCTCATGTTATGGTTGGGACTTTCTTATTGGGGCTTAACAGAGGTAAATATTTGTGAGAAAGGTGTAAAAACGAATGCAGTTGTGTATCAAAATACAGTCCTGATGAACCTTGTGGAACCTGTTTCTCATACCATGTTCAATAACAGGCACTGGGTATTCCAACAAGATTCGGCGCCAGCTCATAGAGCACACAAGACTGGCTGGCGGCGCGTGAAATCGACTTCATCCGGCACGAAGACTGGCCCTCCTCCAATCCAGATTTGAATCCGTTAGATTACAAGATATGGCAACACTTGGAGGAAAAGGCGTGCTCAAAGCCTCATCCCAATTTGGAGTCACTCAAGACATCCTTGATTAAGGCTGCCGCCGATATTGACATGGACCTCTTTCGTGCTGCGATAGACGACTGGCCGTGCAGATTGAAGGCCTGTATTCAAAATCACCGAGGTCATTTTGAATAAACTTTAGTGTCATAAGAATCTATGTTTTGTTAAGTTCATTTTGGTATATAAATGGTTACATAATGAATAAACTTGTTTCAATTATTTTATATTAAACATGTGACAGAATTTATGACCTGACTAGGTATTTATTTCTTTAAATTTATCTCTAAGAGACTCTCTCGGTTTTAGATTGTAAATAGCTCTAATGGCCCTCTTCTGTAAACAAAAATAGTTTCTGAATCAGCCGCATTTCCCCATAGCAAAATCCCATAAGACATTATGCTATGGAAATAACTGAAATAAACTAATCTAGCTGTCTCGACACTAGTGAGACCTCTAATCTTTTTTACAGCATAGGCTGCAGAACTTAGTCTGCTTGCTAATTTGGATATAACCAGTTAGCCCACTGAAGTTTGCGTCGAGAGTGATGCCAAGAAAAACAGTGGATACAACAGGGCTCAATTCCTCCCCATTTAAAAACACATTGGTATTCAGATTTTTAAGATTCGTTATTGTAAATTTAACACAATTAGTTTTATTTCCGTTCAAATGCAGATTATTAACGTTAAACCAATGCACTAATTTTGATATAGCATTATTCACTTCGTCACATTTAAATGATTGACGTTTAAGTTTAAAAATCAAGGAAGTATCATCAGCAAATAATACTATATCATGACTATCCCCTACAAGGTGAGGTGAACCTACTTCCCGTAGTCGTTCTTGGTACAATAGCACAACGCTTAAGTGTATCGGTGATAATTTTTTTTATACTATTATGGTGACAAATTAGCACACAGTCTACCTAATGGTAAGTGGACACTATGGCCCATAATCATCTATATCTAGAGGTATCCTTGGTTAAGAATCAAAATGTCTAAATCTAGTAAAAATGGCCTCCAACTCTCTACATTCACCATTTGAAACACAGCAGCATTAAACTGTTATTTTGCGCTGGTATTCTGTGAGAACGTGGTGCTACACCATCGAGCCGACCCATTCGTGCTATAACCATAATATAACTGCAGCATTGCTCTACAACGTACAAATGGGTCTACCACACATATATATATCTTTATATATAAAAATTACGTGTCACATTGTTTGTCTGAGATGAACTTTTTAACAGTGGTAGAGCCACGCGGCAGCTTTTGCTGTGGCACGGATGGGCCGGCTCGAACCGGGGTGGTACCACGACCTCACAGAAAACCAGCGTGAAGTAGAGGTTTACCTCTGCGTTTCGCTTGGTGAGTGCAGGTGGCCGGAGGCCCTTTTTACTGGAAATGAGGCATTCCATCTTAGTCCTCACGGGTGACAACGCACCTACATTTTGATTTGTAATAGAGGATATATGTAGATGTCTATGGGCCGCAGCAACCACTTACCTTCAGGTGGACTGTGTACTCGTTTGTCACCCTTATCCTATAAAAAAAGAAACTCCTAAACTACTGAACTGATTTCAATGAAATTTTGCACACTGTGTGCAATTTGATCCAACTTGAGAGATAGGATAGTTTTTATCCCGATAAGTGACCCCCAATTTTTTAATTGCTAATTTCAGGAGTTTTTTTAGGGAAGCAAATGGTCGTCGGAAAGTGCAGAACAACATCTGCCTGCTAGTGTACATATATAATATATAAAATATAACTTTTTCAGTAACAAAGTAAACTAGGTAGGTATGGAAGGACAGCAATATATGACCAACGTGTTCTCATGCTAATAAGTCTTCAATCGACAAAAATAAAAATTCAGATTCCGAATACGTACAGGACCGTTAATAAATTAAACTACAAGGATAAAATGTTGATACACATAGGGCAACACAGTTGACACCACCACCGTGAAGCCTTACAGTCAAAATCGAACTTAAAGTGTTTTAATGTAAAGGTGAGAGTTGCGAGAGCGTTTTTAAAAACACGTCTTACGTATCCGCAGATCCTCAGAAACCAATACACAAGTTACGATGTATGAATTATTTATTACATCATTCATATTGGCCGGTATAATCTACTCCGTAGTCCGTACCCGAGGCTATGTTTAGACAAGGCGTGTTGATTTAAGACATTTGTTTTTATCTCGATTCGCGAAATTATTTCCACGAGAATTTATTAAACCGAACTATAAATCAAATCCAAACTAATTTCAAAGGCAAATAAGCTATAAGTGGCACTTTAACGCTGATGGACTGCAAATATAAATTTACTGGAGCTACGAAAGTTTTGAAATTATAGGTTTTGATAAAGTTGTGTCAGCTACAAACAAGTTGCTTCGTATGTTTACCCTGTCGTACATTAGCAAGTCGTTTGTTGACGGTAAAAAAATCATCACCCTAGAATAGTTAGAATAGAACAGATTTTTTTTATTTAATATAGATTATAAATAATTCTTATTGATAGTAATTTATTAATTTGACCACTGTTTAACTGGACATACCTAGCGATTGACCGACGTTCAGCTCGGTCAGCAGCTATTCGACAAGCATTGACACGATGTAGAGCCATACTGGTACTGCAGCTATGTTATAGCTGTAGCATGAATGGGTCAACTGGACTGGGGAAGGACCACGCTCTCACAAAATACGCAGCATTGGTGAGTGTAGAGAACCGGGGACACTTTTTACTGGAAATGAGGCATTCAATCCTAGTCTTTAGGGATGACAACACGTCTCCATTTTGATTCCTAACCGAGTATAAATATAGATTTCTATGGGCCGCAGTATTCACTTACCATCAGGTGGACTGCGTGTTCGTTTGTCGCCCTTATTCTATATAAAACGAAATTTTAAAGTTTCAGTGGTTTTTTTTTTAATATTTAGACTTTAAAATTAACATTAATTAAAGGAAATAGAAGCAGCATTCACAATTCCGATACTCAACTGATTAAATCAAGTGAGCGTCATTAAAGACAATGTAAAAGGAAATTACATCTCCCTCATCAATAGTCCAGTGGAATATCTATTTATGAATAAGACGAGCCTGTTCGGAATTATGTCTAACGGATGTCGCAGTAAGCCGTATTATGCAAACAACCACAGTGCAGAGATGTGATCGACATTCTAAGGCATTAATTCAATCGGTCAATATTATTGCCACGTCTTCCATTGTCGATTACTGATCATAATACGGTTATCTGTAAATATTAATTAAACGATTGTCTAGGTTTTGTTTTACATGTTGAAACAGCTAGACTTGTTTATTTTAGCTATTTCGATAGCATAGTGTCGTATGGTATTTCGTATGGCTATGGGGACACGCGACTGACGAAGTAATTATATTTGTTTTGCAGAAGACATAGTTATTTTTAGTAAAGATTTAATAAAACAATCTCTACATAATATAAAACACCGAATAGAACCCGCCGTCTGTACGCTTAGATCTTTTAAACTTTGCAACTGATTTTGATGTCGTTTTCATCCATAGACAGAATGATTTAAGAAAAAAGTTTGTGTGTATAATATATGCATATTATGTATTATATAATTCTTATGTCTATGTGTATGTGACTGAAATCCTCCTAAACGGCTGGACCGATTTTGATGAAATTTCGTGTGTGTGTGTGTGTGATTAAGTTGATTAGAGAACGGTTTAGGTTTACAATTGGATTCTTTACGTAGCGTTGTTGTCAAGATCCAGATATCAACCGTGAGAAGTCAGGGCGGATCGCTAGTTGAAGATAATTCTAAAGAACACTAAAATACTACAACACAACAAGTTTATACAATTTTACATTTAATAGTTCAAAGAATCTTACCATAGTGGGAGCGAAGTCGCGGGAAATACTAGCTGTTTCCCGCGACTTCGCTCGCGTTAACTCGCGTTAACACGCGGGTTCCGCGCAAAAACATAAAAACCCGTTAGGGTTTTTATGTTTTTGCGCGGAACCCTAATTCTTTTTCTAAAATAAAAGTAGCCTACGTTACTCCTTATGAAATCACCTATCTGTTAGTGAAAGTCCCGTCAAAATCGGTCCAGCCGTTTCGGAGATTAGCCGGAACAAACAGCCAGATAGACAGACAGATAAAATTTTAAAAATTGTATTTTAGTTATAATTACTAGTATTTTAGATATACATTTAGTAAAAAACCGTAATTTTCACATTACAAACAGGCACATCAATTTTATTTATTTGTATAGATAAATGACGGAGTAGTCTAATTTTAGATTTTCAATTATAGGTGTTTGCCAATATGAGTACTGTCTAAGAACAGAACCTCGTCTCATAATAAACAGATACTTCAATCACCAAACCATACGATCACATTCCAATTATAATAAACATTTGAATGTCATTGTTTTTATGCAGCATACTTCATGTCTCGTTAGCAGTCACGAATTGGTTCGACAGACAAAAACTGAACAAAAAGTTTATGATTTCCAATAACACTGGCACAAAAACCAATAAAGTTTAAAAAAAAATAAACATATAAATAAACACGTCGACGTGAATCGTTTTATGTCAAATATTTATTTAATATAATGGCAACTTTGTAACTACATGTTTCAATTATTATGTTAATGAAGCTAGTTTTTTTTTAAGTTTACAGTTTGATTGATTATCGTAAGCTATCGATTTTAAAGTAAAAAATATTATAACTTATCATTATAATTTTTACTTTAATTATAATTGTTGCCATAAGTTACAATCTTTATTTGCGAATTGTCACATTATAAATGTAAAGAAAAAAGGCACTTACTGAATTACAGAACAAAAATCAACGAGTGGCTCTTGCTTATTAAAAGATATATGCGCTACAAATAGCATACTTACCATACCAGCTTCCATTGAATGTATTCAAAATTCAACGCAAACCTGAAGCAGCAC